AATGATTAACTAAAATGATTTAAATGCTTTTCCCTTAAACTTGAAATTGCAATACAAAATATGTTATACTTTTAATGTTTCCAAAATCCATGTTTTGAAGTTTAAGAGCCTACAATGATACAACAGGGAGCTTCCAGCTTTGTAACTGCAATCTGGGGGAAGGGATTTCCTGTTTATTTCTGATTTGTTTAGTGAAAGAACCCTAGACTGTATATAAATAGTAGCGGAGTCACCATGACAATTTGTGTGTGGTCTAGTGTTTTGAAGCCTTGAGTTTGGCATGTTGGGTTTCACATCTTCTTTTGAATTATCACAAGTGACAAGAAAGACTGACGCAAACCAAACCCTGAATAAGACATTTTTGACCAATTTTCTTTCAACCAAAATGTGACAATGAGTTTTCATGAACTTAAAACACATTATTAGGGTTAAGGATTAGGTTTAGGGTTAGGGGTTTGTTAGAAAACAACAACACCACCGTGGTAGCAACATATCAATTACAAAGTCCAACATTAATAAACGATCATCACGCCGTATGGTGCAACCTTAAACTCATTAGGAAACATTTTACTGGGCTAATAAATCAAGTGAGAAATTGGGCCATTTCCTGGCTTGGGGAATAGATTATATTTGGGTTTCTCGATCAGGACAAAAGAAAAGCCTCTGTTTTTCCTTACAGTTACTTACAATAAGATGTCATCAGATTGCTTGTAAAAAATGTTCAATACATTTTTCAAATATAGAACGATCTATTACAAAGCACATGCTTATACATTACAAAAATCGATGTATTAAACTAAAACAGCATTTGAAACTTTACCATTCTGGAAGGTAGGGGGAAAGAAACAGGTTACATTACTTTTGTGATACTTAGAATAGGTTTCTGATTACATTTTGTTTACAGGTTATTAGTAATTGCAATGGATTAAATATTTGAAGTAACCCTCCCAGCCATGGCCATTTTCTCATAGACTTCTATAGAACCAAACTTAACTTTGCAACCAGTGGAGTCGACCCCTGCTGGTTATTAGAAATGATGTCAATCCAAGGCACTTGCGTATTGGCTTCACTTGCGAGATGCAGATTAATTGAAATGCCTATGTGAGTACCATCCAAGATCCAACATGAACATGGATAATGGGGACGCAAATCCAAAATCTGGTGGAAAGCCTTCCCAGCAGAGTAGAGCCTGTTATAGCATCAGATTAATGCTCATAGTTATGAAATGTGTTCAACAATTACACAAGGCTATAATGTTCAGATGTCGTACATTTTCCCATTTAGTGGTCTAATACTTTAACATCAACTCAGATTATTTAAATGATAAGGCTGGGCTCATTTCACATTGGAAAAGATCCCTACCACTGCTGGCTCTATTGAAAGTATGCATACATTCAGTTGCTTTGGGCAACACCTTGGAACGTCTCTGCCAAGTGGTTTATATCGTTGCCCATCTTTTTTTACAACTATCTTATGAACGGCTTTACTTTCAAGAAAATGCCACTTAAAAAATTGCACAATATCCACCTAGCAGGATATTGGCAGCACTCTTCAAAATCGTGCCTGAACATAAATTCAACACTTCGGGACTGTAGTTTCTGTTTTTTTTGGCTTAAATACTGTAAATATCCACAGAGATATATCGGCTGATATACGGTGCAGATGTGATGGTGGAGCTCTATTTACCAGTGTGCTGCAGCTTCTTACTCTGTTTAAACACAGTCTAGGGCAATAATTCAGGCTTTCCAACATGATAAACAGACAGAGACCTTTCTATTCCACCGATAAAAAAAGGGTCCCAAAGCAGGCTTTCTAAGAACTCATTTTAAACAACTTCCTGTTTCGGGTGCGGATGGAGATAAGAGAAATACATCCAACAAAACCTGACAGAAAGCATGGTTTCCAACCTTGCTTTTATCAGTGCCACATACAGATGGAATTTTCTTTTATGGAAGAAGATTTATCATGGTTTATTCAGGACTAACGTGTTGTGAGAATCTGCAGCTGAGAAGCTATCAGTGCATTTGCGGGGGGAAACATTAGATTTTCCTATGTTTCGCTAGCTCCTCATACCACAAAACACATTATACACACATACATTATCATGCACTCTAAAACATGCTCGCAACGACTTGCTAGAGCCAGGCACAACATCAGTAACCATTAGCAGTGAGGACAATGAATCACTTATCAAGCATCATTTGCATAACATGCTGTGGCTCCGCAAGCACTCTAACTATTATGTCTTCAATTTGAAAAATACAGCATTTGGCCACATTTGTGTGCACAACATGCTCCCCATTGCCTGAAACACAAAAAGTGTGCTCAAGTAATTTGCTTTTCAGAACAGGATACATAACCAAAGCAGGTTACGGTCTTCACATGGAAACAAAAGGTCGAACACATCCCCTCCTGCTTGCACAAACATCCACAGATAAATACGCTGGGCTAATACTAGCATTTTTCTTTTTAAAAGCTAACAGGTGCTATCACACATATCTGCTTCTTTGGCTTTTCATCTGTCTGACTGCCTGTCAGAGCAAAATGAAAGAGCAGGCGGATCAATGAAGAGACAGGCGTGATGAATGTAGGGAAGGAAGGAAATACAGGAAAAGGGAAGAAAGAGGAGATGGAAGAGCACCTTGCTCTCGTAGCTACTGTAAGTCAAAATCTGATAATAGGATGACGAGGGTTGGTGCAGATGGAATTAACTGATTAAGTGGGTTTGTTATGTTTCTCTCACTTACTTTTTCTGCACAGAGACAACGCTTCCCTAAGGAAATATATCACCAAGACCATCTGGCCTGCACTGGCTAACACACATTCATGACACACACACACACACACACAAACACAGACACACACATACATACACTATGTAAGCCAAGCACAATGACCAAGAATGACCACATCAACACAAAGAAACTCAGCTGACCTAACAGCACAGACATGGTGCAACGTGCAGACTATTGCATGCCATGACTCCCAACCACCACACACACACACACACACACACACACACACACACACACACACACACACACACACACACACACACACACACACACACACACACACACAGGAGGGTGGTGTAGTTAGCGTCACAGCATGACCCAGATACAGGCTTTAATACGACGGCATGTGGTGCCTCCACCCTGCTAAAGTGTTCATTAGCAAATCCCAGAATCCCTACCAGTCCCAGCGAGGCTGTTCTGTAGTTGTTTTCTGACCCACCTATTGAGGGAGAATAAACAAGGATTACCTCCAGGTCAAGAGTATTACATTAAGTTATTAACCTTTTGTGTTGGGTCACTGATCGTAAAGTTGTGTCCTAATTTCAAAACACAAACAAACTCGAATGTAACCCTTTTACTGGGTTCTAGTATGTTTCTCCCTCCAGTGCTTTGAACTGTACACATGGGGACTACTCAGGTTCAACCGTATTACTGTTGCCGTTTGAGTTGTACAAGTTGTAGATAGGAGTTTGAGGAAAAGTTTGTTATTAAAGATGTCAAAGTTCTGGGTGAATATTTAGCAGAATTGTACCATGTGGATAAATACTCTCACTAGATTTTCTTGATGAGACTTAACAAATCACAATAAAACAAACAAGATTAAGCCAAATTTAAATGCTAAAAGCCTCTTTAGGGTGCTAACAATCCTAGCAATATTATCGGATGCAGTGTTTCCCACAGATCTGAAATATACTTGGGGGGGTGGTGGTAGCGGGAGGGGGGGTTGAGGTGACGTGCCTTTGTGACGTGCAACAACATTAACAAAGCCTTTCTGTTGGTCGCTTGTTAGCAGACCCTTCACGCGATGGCAGAGCGAACAGGTACAGGCAGGGCCCTATAGTTTAAATCTACTACCCACTAATAACATGGTTATGTTGATCTGTGCTGGTTCCCTCATGTCCAGGAAGAAGTTTAAAGAATAAGAGACGATGGAGTCTCTGAAAAGGGTCAAATTGGTTACTTTAATTAAGTAGCGTGGTAATGAAACAAACAGAGGTGTAGTGGGACATAACAGCTTTGTGTCCCGTTGGTGTAGGGGTGAAGAGAGAGCGAACAACGCTCGCCCGCTATCTATATATCCTCAGTTGGCTCCTCCTCTCATGGCTCCCGCTGGTGCCGGGGGTCCTCCCACGGCTATCTTCTATGTCCGATATTGCGTAAAACAGAGGATTTAACCCTTATACAATGTCTTCTCTTAGTTGTATAACTCCACACGCCTTTTCTCCTCATACTCTCTTTCATGACTTTTTATTTAATGCATTTTAACGGCTGTAATCGTTGTTAGCATCTTGCATGTTGTGTTTTTTTCTACATTTATGCTTAAACTGGCTTGAAAATTACAATTAAAAAAAGTGAATGTTGGATTTGATATGTTTTACGAGACATAAGGGCATGAATTCAGAGGGAAAGGAGCAATTTTGAGCTCTGCTCTTAAAGGTCACATGTCATGCTTGTCCGGTTATTACCCTTCCCCTTGTGTGTTATGAAGGTTTTTCTGCATGTAAACGGTGTGCAGAGTCAAAACCCTCAAAGTACAACCTGTAGCGAGTAAAACTCTAAAACAGAAAATACCTCCCCAAAACGCCTCGTTGGTGAAACGTCATCATGACGTCATCATCCATTTGATTCTTCCGTGTACGTGCTTACGAAAGCACGTACCCGGAACTAAATGGGCCAATCCGCGGAGCCGTTACGTTAAGCCCCCGCTGATTGGTCCAAATTGACCAATCCACACACACACAATAAGTGAAGGCAGCCCTGCTGATTTCCGCTCCCTGCTGCAGGCTGATAACAGACAGTTGGGAACGCGCGAAATTCTCTCTGCAGACCCATTCTCACAGCGTTTATCAACCTATAAACCTTTTTCTTACTCAATATCAANCCCCCATGGTGCTCAGGACAGCCGGTGCACTGTGTGTGTGTGTGTGTTGCCAAACCCCGGCATGGCTCATGTTTCTCAGTGCAGTCTGTCAGAGCCCAGCTTGGAGCGGCAGGCACCAGTGAGGCTACACCAAATACATCCATCCTGAGCTGACAGGGGGGGACATCACAGGCTTTCTACCCCAGAGAGAAGCTGCTGTTTGGGGCTGAGGTTTGCTCATAAAACAGCCCAGTACCATGGTCCTGCCTCCCGGCCTTCACAGCAGCACGGGAGTCTTAAGGAACATCTCTTTGCACAGAAACACTGCTGGATTACTGCGTTACAGGACACAGCTTTGGGAGCCTGTACATGCGAGTGGAGGAGAAACATTTTGTGAGTGATTGTCAAAGAGCGTGAAATCACACACATGCTGTCCTGAGGCGTTTGTCCGTTTTTCTTTTTTGGTTAGCGGATATCTGAGCTGTTAAGTGGAACTTATTTTCCAAAAGGTCCCCTCGGTTTCCACTCAACGGTTGTTTAAGTTGCTGGACAAGCTGGTCCGTTTGTAGTCGGCGTGTCAGTAGCCGCCCCGGTGGCCCTGCCTGGTCGGGGGTTACGCGTCTCGTCCCCCACCATGATGATCAAGGAGGCGTCGTTACGTGGAGACCCTGATCTGAGAGGGGAGCTGGCCTTTCTGGCCAAGGGGTGTGACTTTGTCCTCCCCTCTCGCTTCAAGAAGAGACTAAAGTCCTTCCAGCAGCAACAGGTCAGTCGGTGCATCGAGCAGGATGGACAGGTGCAGCGCTGGACGTGCACCCATAATGCAAACTCATGAGAAATATGAAGTCGCACAACAATATCCTCAAATCCTTCTACTAATCTTTTAATTGATATCTCTCTGTTCTTCTTTGTGTCTCTCTTTCACATACACTTGTTTGTATATTATACACTCAAAAGCTTACAGTAGATTCTTCTTGTTGCTTTCACACAAACAGAATGACATGCCAGGGACGACAGACTATTCTGAGGCAGATACCAGCAGGATATTAATAGGACAGATGGTGCAGGAATAGAGTGATAGAATGAACTCTTTGCAGACGGGTGGGGGGGAGGACCAATACAGCTGTCCTAAACACACACACACACACACACACACACACACACACACACACACACACACACACACACACACACACACACACACACACACACACACACACACACACACACACAGTATGGCGGCCCTCAGGAAGTCACACACCAGGCATCAGGGAGCTCCTGCTCCATCTCACTGAATAGTTCTGATTGAAACAGTGCTATTAAATACTGCTTTCAGGTCTTTCCATTTGTTATCATCTGTGAACCGCAGCAATAGTCTTGAATTGGATATCTCTTTATCATTGCAAATATGATACATTTGTCTTGTTTTTAGATTTGTTTTAAATATCTTGGTGTTCAAATTATTCTTCTGAAGACAGTCACCATATGTTGTTTCATGAAGTGAGACTTGTGTTATGTTTCAAATCAAGATGGCTGGCAGTAACCCACAAAAGCAATTTTCTTAAATTTGATATTTTGGAGCGATTTACACATAGTTCTTCCCAATCTGAGACAAAATAAACAATGTCCAATACAGCTGTTATCTCCTCCTTTTTGTAATTCATTTGGTGTTTAAGCTAAAATGGCCGAGTTCAAGTGTTTATTTAACCTTTTTAGTCACTTAAGATTTAACAGAGTAGAATATATTAAGTTAAACCCAACATAGTTTTCACTGCAACAGTCTCGTGCCATCTGGAGATTTTATGACATCAATTTAAAAAGTGCTGACTATAAAAGAAGTCTCTTGTTGTTTGTACTTTATTTATGACTCACATGGATTTTCCACCACATCCCTTGATCCTCGTAAAGTTACGTTGTACACTGTATATAGTTGTACATTAAAAGGAATTTTGATTTCTAAAAATGTTTGGATCAAGTCAAAATCAGGCAGCGATTTCAGAAACAACAAGTCCCATCAATCACTCACCTGTAGGTGTTTCAGTCATTAGCATGCTGTCTATGGAAGATGTTGCATTAGTTTCTAGCTTTCCTTTAAGATTTGGTTCACAAACTATATTACTATTTAAAAATATTCAAATCAACTCTGTTCTTGTTACAGATGACAGATTAAAAAGAGTTGCAGATCTGAGTTGTAGAGTTCCCACTCCAGCTATCACTCCTGACCCTGCTATTCATTTAGAAAGATAGATAGATGGATAGATAGATTGATAGATAGATAGATTGATTGATTGATTGATTGATTGATTGATTGATTGATAGATAGATAGATAGATAGATACTTTATTGAACCTAATTTGGGAAATGTTTGCGTTGCAGCAGCATAAACAACACAAGGCAATGTACACAAGAGAAATTAAGACACAATAAATAAACTGTCCAAAATATTTCAGAAATAGAAATAAAATAGCATTACAAAATTTAAAAGTTAAGGAATATAAAATAAAAAATATATATACATAACACACACGTAAGAAATATAATGCAGGATATTATTGGGCAAGAATGGATTATTCAATATTAAACAGAATACGAAATATGTAATGAACAGTGGAAAATAGTGAAAAACAGTGAAAACAGTGAAAACAGTAGAAAACAGTGAAAACAGTAGGAAACAGTGGAAAACAGTGAAAACAGTGAAAACAGTAGAAAACAGTGGAAAACAGTGGAAACAGTGGAAACAGTGAAAACAGTAAAAACAGTGAAAACAGTGAAAACAGTAGAAAACAGTAGAAAACAGTGGAAAACAGTGAAAACAGTGGAAACAGTGAAAACAGTGAAAACAGTAGAAAACAGTAGAAACAGTGAAAACAGTGAAAACAGTAGAAAACAGTAGAAAACTGTGAAAACAATGAAAACAGTGGAAAACAGTGGAAAACAGTAGAAAACAGTAGAAAACAGTGAAAACAATGAAAACAGTGGAAAACAGTGGAAAACAGTGGAAAACTGTGAAAACAGTGAAAACAGTGGAAACAGTTGAAAACAGTAGAAAACAGTGGAAAACAGTGAAAACAGTAGAAAACAGTGAAAACAGTAGAAAACAGTAGAAAACAGTGAAAACAGTGAAAACAGTGGAAAACAGTAGAAAACAGTGAAAACAGTAGAAAACAGTGAAAACAGTGAAAACAGTAGAAAACAGTGAAAACAGTAGAAAACAGTTGAAAACAGTGAAAACAGTGAAAACAGTAGAAAACAGTAGAAAACAGTGAAAACAGTAGAAAACAGTGAAAACAGTGAAAACAGTACTAACATGAAGTCCCTTCTCTCTCTGATCAGGTCCAGGCCAAACCGGAGAAGAAGCCAGGCACACCTCCACCGGCTCCGGCCCTGGC